AGCTTCTAGCAGCTTCTCACAGAAGCCACCCCTGTAGCCCCCCTGCTACCAAAACCTTGCCACGCAAACTCAATACAGATTGGAAAGATACAGTTAGACTAAATCTCCGAAACCTTTTGAAATTGGAGAATAGTAGGTGTTTTGTGAACGGGCATTTGCTAAAGGCCTTGAAAACTCTTCAGCACATTGCTACATGGTTATCGTGATCCAACATGGTGAGGTGAATTGCCTGCTCTGCCACCAGTTATTTTGGAAAGCAGAAAACTGACAGTGTGGTATGCAGTATGCTTCTCTCTATTCCACAATGTTTATGAAATGTGAAAGGAAGAATAATTTTATTGTTTAGAAGCTGACCTGACTTCATAGTGGCCATTGCTTATAAATGGTTTTAGTTTGCTTCACACGATGGTTCGCATACATACATTTTGGGGTTTGTTCTTCAAAGTGGAATAAAACGCTATAGGAGAAAGTGAGAGAAATTGATAAATGCAGGTGATGTTTGCCTCAAACTGACACTGTCTGAAAAGACTACTAAATAAAAGATGGTTAAAATAGTCCTTTTTAGTCATGGCAGCTGATTCCTTTATGATTAATTAATTAGAACAGCAGCTTCCTAGGGAGACTTCTCTGTGGATTCCCCTGTGCTCCCTTGATACGCTGTATTACAGTTATGTTGGTTGCAGATAAAGACATTTGTTATTGGCTGCTTGTAGCTGCAGAGGTGCTTGGTCTCTCTCTTTGGCTGGGGACTGAGTAGCAGAGAAGCAATGATAGCTCTGTGGTTTCTTCCCCACAGCCTGGGGACTATTTTATTGCCAGAGCAGATGACAACACTCTTATGACTTCTCCAGATTGCACTGGCTGCTTGCACGGTGCTCTTCCCTCAGCAGGCAGTGATGCTCAGACCATCCCGGGTTTACCTGAGTTTATGGCAAGACCTATGATAAAGTCAAACCTCTTTTCTTCCCACTTGTTACTAGATCACTGTAAAGCAGAAAACTGTGATTGACCAGGACCTGGTTTATGTATTTTTTCAATGTGAAAGGGCAGTCATGGCCTTGTACCTTTTTAAGCCCTCTCCTGCAGTTACATAGAATGAGGACTTATTTTTCTGCACCAGAGATTTAGCTCTTGTGCCAGTCTAGAGTAGGATTTTTAGAGAGAACTGGAGTAAGTGTTGCTCATCAAGTGACTTGGAGTAATGAGTTGTGACCACCTTGCAAGTCAAATGGGAAACCTTGCGAGGGCACTGCTGAAGGAGCAGGTGAGAATGGATTGCTTAACCAATAGGTTGGGTCTCTTTGAGAATGTCCTTAAGCTCTGCTTTTAAATTTGTTTTTGGAATTCTGAAAACTAGAGCATAAAGTCCTATGCTTGGTAACTGTTTTCATGGTGAAAGGAAATGAATCAAGGCTGCTGTTGCATTTGGTAGGCATAAGGGAAATTGGAAGGGATTTGAGTGCCCTGGAAGCAGGGATCTTTGCCAAGGTGGCTTGGGAAGGCCCTGACTTCAGTCATACTTTGGTCTCTTATTTCAGATTTTTAATTTTTGTTGCTTTATCTGTGTACACTGAGTGACTTTTGTGGCCCATTTTAAATGTTCTTGAAGACTTTGTATCTTTTGTTTCATTTTATGGTGTAATCATCAAGGACATGTAAGCTTTGTAATGCTTTTCGCTTTATGGGGGCCAACAGAGTTTTGGAAAAAGCTGATAATGTTATAGAACATTTTGACCAAATACACTAACTGGTTTGAACCTCTCACAATACCTCTAGTGATGTTTTTGTTTTTGCAGATGATTCTGCAGATGTTGGTGAAGAGGACAGCTTCTTGGGTCAGACTTCTGCCAGCCCCAATCCACCACAGACTTTCAACTATTTCTCTCAAGTCCCTAGCAGCAGTGATCCATTTGGCAGTATTGGGCAGCCACCCTTAACAACTGTTGCACCGCCTGTTGCAGCACCAGCCTTCTCCAGGCCTCCAACTTCACTTCCGCTTGTGTCTGGGGCGCAGGATGGGCAAAATGCCTTTTCACCGCATGTTCCCAAGTCACAGTCCTCTTACAACACACCACCTACTTCACAGGTGGGAATCACGGCTTATCAGACTCCTCAGCAGAGCTGTCCCCCGCCTGCAAATGCATCTACTCTTCCCCAGGGAACATCTCAGCAGGGGTATAACCCCTATCGGCACACCACCCTGAGCAGCAGAGCTAACCCATACCTTACTCCACCGCAGCTGCAACAGAGTCCTGGACCTGCTCACCCACCATCCTCTGTACCACCCGTCCAGATGTATCACACACCTCCAGGGTCATTGGCACAGGTATATATATAATTCCTGACGTCCTGGTACCAGAACAAAACAATTTAAGTCACTTTCCTCTTTGAATTGCATATTTTCGCTTCTCAAGATTTTTCTTTTCCCCCCAAAAAAACCCTGAAAAAGTCTTGAACCATTTCTAATAGGAAAATCTTTTCACTAGAACTAGCCTGGAACTGTTGCTTTAGGAAAACTCCCTGATCTTTGAAGAGAGTGTACCCTGAGGCTGTGTCTACATGAGCTTCTGGCATCAGAAACAAAGACAAGTTGTGAAGTTCTGTTGCTCTTTTCTGTCGGCTACTGAGTTTGCTGCCATTTCAGCTGTGCTGCTGCATTGTTTGCGCCTCTGCTGTAAATGAGGTCATTCAGCCATTTGTAAGATATGGGCTAAAAATCTCTTTCCAAGCTGGCTTTGCTGGTGAAGCCAGGTTGAGGATTTTGTGTGATGTACAGCATTGATCTCCATTTTTTTTTACCTTCACAAAGACATTATTAAAATAATGTAAATGGATTAGTAATAACCTGACAAGTTTTCCTTGAAAACAACATAAATTGTTTTTATTTTGCCTGAGCAATTGCTATATTGCTGCTATTGTGAATAAAGAATAGAATAATGACAAATAGTGACAAAAAACATAGCAAAGGCAGTAGAACCTGAATAATCTGGAGTTTTAAAGAATTTCAGAACTTCTGATTGCTTGATTTTATATTTGTACAGTATATTAGTTGGTTGTTTTTTTTTTTTTAATGTATCCGCCAAAGCAGTTGTTACTGCTGACATCACTTGCTTTTATTTGTACTAACTGGGATCTTTGTACAATTTATATGAAATCAGCTTTATGTAGTCTATAGTCCCTTTCAAAATCAGTTATTTTTCTTGTGTCACTGAGGCTACACTAGAGTGAAATCTGCCTGTCCTGATCGTTTTGCAGGAAGAGAGCTATTACTGAGGTGGCACTTGTTAAAATGGACAATCTTTATGCAAAAATGTAATTATGTATAAATGAATAAGGAGAAGAATATGGTTTGTTTTTTTTTTTTAATGTCAAATTTGGTGGCCGTAAGAAATAAGCTCAGCTTGAGTTTTGAAAATTTAAGAGAATATTTTAAACCTTACTGGTCTTAGGTAATCAAGGTGCTAGACTGTAACAGTTTTTAACAGCATTTGTGGGAACAAAATTCACATCCTTTCTCAGTTTGAAAAGGTGTAAGTTTTCAAAAACATGGTAAAGTGGACAACTTCTCTATAACCTTTTTAGAATGAAAGCTAATGTTCTTGTGGGATAAAATGTTAGAAATAAACGCTCGGAGTGTTCTCTATAGCAAAGTATAGATCAGTTCTGTAAAAACTATGTGAGGTTGAGGTGATGAACCCATATGTATTTTCAGTTTCCGCAGTCACAGCCCCGAGCTCCCAGGCCTGCAGGTCCACTGGTCCAGGCACCTCCTGTTTTGCTGCAGAACCAATATGAGCCGGTTCAGCCACACTGGTTCTACTGTAAGGAGGTGGAGGACAAGCCAATATGGATGCCGTTCAGCATTCTGGATTCTGTGAAACTAGAGGAAGTCTATAATTCTGGTAAGTTATGAAAATCTTAATCATATCTTATTTGGAGGTGAACAGAAGGACTAGAAGGAAGATGTGTGAGTAATGTCACTCACATAGGAAA